AAATCCAACTTCCAGTTCTACTCATGAACTCGATTTCAAGATTTCATTCAAGAACTCTTAATCTTTAATCTCTCCTAACTCCATCATCTTTTGATTTTAAGATAACTTAAGCTTTCCTTGAGATTAGTTATCATCTAATGATCATAACCCAACTTTAAATTTAACAAGAAATCAATTAATCAGAAACTCACCTTTGGTTTTATCTCCCACGCATTAAGGAAGAAAAAGAAAGGAGGAAGAAGGAAAATTCTGGAGAAATCTCTCTTTTCCTCTTTCTCACTTGGTTCCCTTATCTTATAAGGGATATTAAAAATCTTTCTTGTCAAATTACCCTTCTACCCTTTAATTTATTTCATAATTACTAACAATCCTTCATAACTTATTTCCAAATAAATCATTGAACTATTCAATTATTCTACTTTAATCACCAAATTCCATAACTTTACAATTTAGTCACTAACCTGGTATTGAGGATGTTACACCCTCTAAAATTTCTCTCAAAATTATCTCATCTTCATTCCAAAATCGATGAAATTTTGTGGCAAATTCATCATCCTTACATCATATCAAGTGGTTTTGCATCAAAACTATTCATCAATTCATCAATTTCAAGGTAATTTTCAAAATAACCCACTCTCATTTTTTTTTTTGTTCTTAAATATTTTGAATCATGAGTTTAAGATGTGCTTTGCTTCTAAATTAGTTTACATACCTTTTTAAACACTTTTACTTTGATTATATATATAGTAATTCTCTTAATTTTTTTAAATGAGTTTATTGTATTTCGAACTTTTTCTTTATATCCATGTAATTTGTTAACATAATTGATGAAATTGATTGGTTTATTGTATTTGTATTATATGTGTTTTTATTGCAGGAGGTTAACCCATTCATTATTATTTTTTCTTTAGAACCCTTGTTTTAGGTTTGTCTACCAAGTGTTCGATAAAATTCCTAAACGATTTTTTGTCTTATCTTAGCCACTGTTTTTCCATAAATGTCTACTAAAACAAATCTAAAACGTCTTAGGACTAGTGACACTACTCTTCAAGGAAAATCCTCAAACTCCGCAAGTTTTGAAAACACTTACTATAGAGAACCTAATGCATTTTTTCTTTATAATCAGTTTTTCAAAACTAAACCCCTCCGAATCGAATGTACCATTGATCCTACTTTCTTATGTATTAGGTTTACTAATTCACTATTTTTGAAACTTTTGTCTCTTGGGGTTAGTTAGACTTGTTTAGCATTCTTCCCAAGGTTAATCCAAACCTTATTCGTGCTTTCTTTTCAAACGTTATCCTAGTTCATGAGGAAGATAATGTTAACAATGTCATAGGAATAAAGTCGTATCTTATGGGAAAGATATTTACTCTTGGTCCCGTTTCCATTGCCTCCTTTTGAACATAAACAATGATGTTGGTCCTTTTAAGGATAGTAATTATGTTCATATGGAAAGATTTCACAATGATAGCCCTACCTCCTTAGAGTTCCTCGATCGTCTTTTACTGCTCCTCATTACGTGGTTTTTCTACCCTTTTAGCAGTAAAGCTACCAACATGAGTGCTTGTGATTATTGGTGGTTTTATCATATCAAGAACATTCGTCCAAATTTTGCCATGATCATCTTCTTAGAGGTTGTCGACCTTGTATCAAAAGAGACAAATTACACCAAGACTCTTCCCCTACGGTTGTATCCTTAGCTACATATTTAGCGAGAAACTTAAAGTGTCAATCGCTTATAACCCTCAAATTTGTCTTGTTAATGTCATCAATATCAAATCAGCTCACAAGGTCAATCAGGATTTCGATGAAAATACCGATGAATAGGGTCCTTATCGAAGATAACTCTTGGACGACGTTGAGGAAGAAGGAAATGAAATGGAATAGCCTCTGGTGTCGCAACCTTAAAAAGAGATCTCAATGAAGACCATGTATAACTACATGGTTCAAAACTTAGGGAACTTGAATGCTCATATGACTACTATAGATCGTCGCTTGGACTCGTTCGAGAATAACATACGCTTGAATCGCCATCACTTGATGCCTCCATCTCCTTCACCACTCGTCTAGAAGATTAGATTTTCCTATGTTGCTTTTAGGACTATTGCATTATGTTTGTTTTCATGTACTTTATGGATACCAGTATTTCAGTGGACATTTTGGTATCGAGATACCATGGTGTTGGTATAGATTGATGTTAAAAGACATAAAATAAACCAATATTCAAATGTAGAACAAGAAGAAAGTGGATTGCAAGATCAAGCCAACATCAAAAGAGTTTTAGAGCGAAATTGTTATATTTATTTGTATTACACTTGTGAGCTTCTTGTTTATTTTTGCTCAAGTGTAATTTGGGTGAGTGCTTAATTAGTTGCAAACACATTTGCCTTTGTGAAGTTTTCTTTTATTTTCTAGATTTATAATCCCTCTTTTGGATTGTGAAGTTTTCTTTTATTTGCTAGATTTGTAATCCCTCTTTTGGATTGTGAAGTTTTCTTTTATTTGCTAAATTTGTAATCCCTCTTTTAGAGAGAGTTTAAGCAAGGTTTTGGATATAAACATTGTGTGTCTTTGTAAGGTTACACCTGTCCTCAAAGGTTAGTAAATCTAGTAGATTTGAGAAATCATTAGTGTAGATGCTAAGGTAGTGGATGTAAATTTTGGTTTAGAAAGTCGAACCACACTAAATTCCTTGTGCAAAATTTTATTTTTTTCAGTTGCTTCCGCCGTAAAGAATTTTAAAAGCCAATTCACCCCTCTTGACTATTTCGGTTGTTTGATGGAGCTAACAGGATCTGACTCTACGTGACCACCGACATACTAATTAGATAATAAATATTATGATGGTTTTTGTGCGAGCACTAAAACGACCACAAAAGTATGCGAAAAAGTACCAAAAAGCATAAGGATTGGGTCACAAGAGCAAAACAAAATGTCAAAAGGACATATTCTAGTTCAAATTAAAAAAAATAAGATAACTAATAATCCTGGATAGTCGAGAACCAATATTAAAATTGATATCGTCGGTTAAAAAAAGACGACGCAAAAATATTTTCCACTTTCATAATAAACCAAATTTTATGAGCATTAGTTCCAACTATAATTTTGAAGTTAAAAATTCATAAAACTAATTTTACAAACTACTTTCACATATATCCAAAAAGATTTTCAACTCATCACAACATATATGTACATGTCACTACTCAACAGTAAATAATGTATATTATTTGTCATTCTGTTATCTCCGAAAAAGATGTGATGTGTCCAATAAAAATTGATAAATCATGATATGAACCTATGTATACTAATATTACCTAATTATTTTCTCTATTCACCAAATTTTTTAAAATTAAAATCTCAATATTTCATATTAGAAAGATAATCCTTAAAATGTTTTATGGGATTCAGTAAAATTAACCAATTATTATCCGGTTCTTTTTTTTTTTGTCATTCAACGGTACAACTTAAAAGTCAAAATTAGAAAACAACATAAATTAAATCCAACCAAAAATATTATCAAAAACATAACATTTTAGTTAGACGCAACTTAAAATATTGCATTATTCATAAATATTTTAATTGGATGCAACTTAAAATATTATATTTTTCATAATATTTTCCATTGTAACATAAAATATTATGTTTTTAGGTAAAATACACAAATAGACCCCAACTATAAGGTGATGCTTTATTTAATATCTCAACTATTAAAAATTACAAAATAATCCATTGACTATAATATATTACTTTTTTAAGTCCACCAACTATTAAAAGTTATAAAATGATCACCCGACTATTCATATGTTCTAAACTCGTTCTTTTTATTAAAAAAATTGATAACAACAACAACAACAAAACCCTATTCCCATGTACGATGGGGTTAAAAAATTGATAACAAACTGAGCTAAATGTAAACATGATGACTGTGATATGATAAAATCTAATCTCAGAATCTCAAACGACTATTATATCTCAATCATCATATTAACATCCAGATCAGATTACCACCAACTTTTAACGAAAAATGACTTTTAATTATCAATAGACTCAACAAAACAACATTCTATAGTTAAAATATCATTTTATAACTTTTAATAGTTCATAAACTTAATAAAGTAATACCTTATAGTTAAAAGACCATTTATGTACTTTACCCTATGTTTTTTAATAACATTTTTGGTCTTGCCTAATTTCCATGCGTTTTCTCTTTAAGTCTCCCCATTTCTCTTCCAGGAGCTTATGGGGGTGATGGACCAAGGGAAGAAAACAATGTGACGATTCGCAGTCTGCAGATCATTGATACTGTCTGTCTCTTCTATGATCGCTTCAGAGAAAAAAAATGACTCCATTGCCATATGATGAAGTGAAGCATGCTGTTAAGATGCTAGGAAGAGAGAGAGAGCATACTGAATCATGGTCGGGTTGAAGGACGGGGAATATCCAACTGAAGAGGGCAGATGGCTTGCAATGACTGCATGGAATCAAGCAGCCATACCTGTGAGAACAGGACAGATCGATGTGGCGAAGATGTGGATGGATGCTGGGGATGGAAACTTATAAGGCATACTTAGAGGATTATGTTGCTGAATTCGAAAAGGAATTTCATACGCAGATTGCACGTGGAATACAGCCTCAAATAGAACGGTAACACGGTATAAATCCATACATTTAAAGAATGTTTCTCGAGTAATGTCCACATTACAGATATGAGTTAACATCTCACACTGTACGTGTGTGGTGTGTCTGGAGATATAGATATATTGATATCAGTTTTATATGTGATGCTGCAGGGAAAAGAACATAAAATTTTACTCTACTAGGCATTAAAATGGCTCAAATCCAAACTTCATAAATGATGAAATCTTTTATTGTTCAAGAAAACTGACAAGTAAGCATTGAAACAAAAGACACATTAGTCAGGAATAAAACGGGAGTACAATATTGGAATTTGAATTTCAAAATTGCTGAACGACACATTTTAAAAGTGAAACTGTCTCAATTTTTCTCGGTTTGTTTCTTCTTTATAAATACAATGTCACATGGATACATCAAACTCACATATCGATGTATCCTTCCATATGATAAAACTATTCCGAAGTTTTATCGGAAATTCGACTGAAGCAAACGAGAAATTCAGTATTACCTTCAGCACCCTTTAGAGGAGATTCAATCCAACCTTTGCTTTGAAATCCAAAGTTCTCTACACCTTTTATGATCTTTTCAAGAACCTACACAGAAATTTAACAAATCTTAAATCATAATGACTTTATTCATTTTTCATATAGATTACAGTGCCTTGGACCAAAAAGAAAGAAAAAACAAGAACTGGTACCTCCTCATGAACTTTGGGATCTCTTACTATCCCACCACTTCCTACCTGCAAAGGCATTTAAAAAAGATTACCCCCTTTACGTTGTAACTATCCCAATTTTGTAGACACCTCGTCAATTCTTACGTACACGTGTACATATATGTTCACAGTCCACATGTATACATATATTCCTTACTTGTGATCTACGAGCTTCGAACTGAGGCTTAACCAGGGTAATTAAAGTTGCCTCTTCCTTCATCGCATTCACCAGAGCAGGCATGACCTGTGTAAGAATGCAAACAAATAACAAAAGGTTATGACAAAGTTAACCTTAAGGTCGTTAGCATGTAATTACTATTAACAGAGCTAATCCGTTCAAGAGGACAGTAAATCCATACATGTATAAAATTGGAGAACTTTAAGCCAAAGAATCTTTCTGATAAATGTAGGAAGTTAAGAGACAAAACAGAGTGGAATTCAATGAAGAAACAGATTGAAACAAATAAAAAAGTAATGCAAGCATGTTAAGAAAGGCGGTTTGGAAATGTCTGAAAGCTTACCAGAAGAATAGAAATAAATGAGAGGTCCAGAGTCACCAGATCAACTTTTTGCGGGAGACCCGAAAGGTATCTTAAATTTGTTCGTTCTATCACACAGACACGTTCATCTCGACGAATCTTATCTGCTACCTGTTCAAAGTTGAAATCCATATGCAGTCAACAACCATTAGAATTCAAAAAGTGCATATCCAGTTACACACAGGGAACACATCATCTAGTAGATTTACTGTTTCTGTATAAAGTAAGCTTCATTATTCAAAAACAAAGGTCGAAATATAAAATACTATTAATAACTTGCAAGTCTTTGAAAGAAACTCACCAAGATTAAAGAATATACTTGTCCTAAAAACCCAGTCACATCTTAATTAATATGATCATCTTATCAAGTGAGAAAATCAAGGGCCATATTTTCTCATGTAAGCTCTTTAAAACTTATAAAGGTACTTCATCTGCACATGGTATTATGAATTTTCCAATTTGTACCTGTCCGTAACCAACATCAACTCCATAAACATAAGAAGCACCATACTGAAGCAGGCAATCGGTGAATCCTCCCGTGGACAACCCAGAATCAAGGGCTATTTTGCCAGCAACATCAACAAAAAGCTGTTCAATTGCAGCTTCTAACTTATATCCTGCTCTGGATTACCAAAGGTAACATTAAAATCAACCTGAACATCTCGACAATACAATCCCCAAATAACGCAGGATAGATGTTGTGGAAAATAATCACCTACATACGTATTTTGGAATTTCGGCAATGATCTCTACAACAGCTTTGTCGGAGACAGGTGTTCCAGCTTTGTTTACCACCTTTCCATTAACATAAACTTTTCCTGCAATAAAATGCGGAGAGAAGAAAATTTACAATTGCTCCAAATGCATCAATGTACGGGGACACATGCAATTGAAGATGATACCTTGTAAAATCCACGACTGTATGAATGTTCGACTGTACTGCTGAAACCTTTCAAGACACAACTCATCCAGCCTTTTTTTCCTGAAATGACATGAAAAACAATAACATATAGAATGGATGAGACATGGACGGATTCCTAGGGCCAATATAAAGCTTGAACTAAGATAAAGTCACTTAGAAACTGGCATATTCTTCCAGTGTCAATGGGCATTCCCGGAATCACAGTTAAACTATGTATGAGCATGAAACAAAACTATCTTTGAATATGTAACGTAAATCATATAGGCTTACTTTTTTGGTATTTGAAGTTTTTCAGCCTTGGAAACAGCAAAGGTTCTACAGGGACTATTGATATGAGATTTGAACAATCTCCCTGAAAACAAAATCCCAAAACTATTAGAGCACAACAACCCGTATGGCCTAAACCAAGAATAAATTCCATTTCTTTAGCACCCAAAAAGGAACCATTCAAATAAAAAAGAAAAACCCACAAATAATAAATTAAAGGAAAACCCTTTCTTACTCTAACCTTATCTACAATCAAAAGTGTTTGTAAAAATTACTGAAAGAGAATTAAGAGAAGAACCCTCATAAAGAAAGCAAGCATGTAGACGTCAACTATGAGTTTAAAGCAAAAGAAACTAAATATCGGCGTGCATGAATCTACATTTAGATATGGAAGGTACCATGAAGAGGAGAGTAAGATTTGTATAAGAAGAACAAAGTGGTGTTACTGCTGTCGCAGCAACGGGTGATAAAGGGAAGCTTCACGATATGCAGTGCCATTTATGGCTTCGTTGAGTGGCTTTCTCAATTATAAGCCTCCGGCAATCAGATGAACCTGTTCTTGGTACGCAGTTAGCAGTTCACCGTACCCAAAAGCTTAAAACGGCCTGTCGTTTCCTGAACGACGTGCGAAAAGACCAGGAAGTCTAAAAGGCCAGTGAGATTTTGGGCATGAGCTTGGGTTGACAGCCCAACTTGTAGTATTTGGGAAGCCAGCCCCAATACAATATATTGGCCTATTTAGCTAAATATCGGTTTTTCCCCACTAGGACAAACAATTTTATTAATTAGCTCAATATGATAGATAAAAGTTTATTTTGGGATCTACGATATTTATCACGTGTTTAAGGAACTCGTTACGTTGAGTTGATGAGTTTGACCAAATAATATTTTTTATTTAAACTCGTCACGTCGAGGTGATAAATTCTAATAAAATATATTTTTTATTTAATTTTTATCACATCGAAATAAAAAATTTGAATAAAAAATATATTTTTATAAATTTTAATCACTTCGAGGTGACGAGTTTCAAGTCATTGTAATAAATGTCGTAAATCCCTAAATAAATTACTTTATGTTGTATTGAGCTAAATAATTATCCCACCTATAGTATTGAACTCAAATTGCCTCTAAATATCACCCTAAACACAATTCTCATAGAAAAAGTTGTAGTAAAAAAATTCTACACATAATATCCATGAATTATTTGTTGATGTAGGACGATTATTATCACCTAAAAGATATCGAGCATACATACAATATATCTTTTAGAAAATATATCGATCAAATTGTTTTTTTCAACTTTTTTGGGAAACTATTTTTTTCTTTGTCTCGTCCATGTGTCTTTCGCAGGAGAATTAAAAACGCATTGTGGTTTATGCATATAAGATACATCGTATTTTCGACGTATTCTAAACCATATTGTAATAATAGTCCTACTTCAACAAATAAATTAATGGGCATCATCTAAAGAACTTTTTTCCACATATCATTATCTCGACATTTTTGTCCAATTATCATATTGTCGTCGTCTTTCGGGTGGGCCCGAAATTGGGCTTCGACTTGAATGAAATATGGGCTAGAGTCACCACCGATCATTTAAAAAATATTTAGGTTAATCGGATATCATCTTACCTGATCTGCGTTTTACCAGAAATATGTCAGGCTAGAGAGTCGATTATGGTCAAAGAATGATTAACACCCCTGAACCGCCCTTTCGTTACCATTTTAATTTTTCGGTTGTCTTAATTGCGAAAATTAAAATAAAAATTAAAGTTTAAAAACCCGATTCGAATTACTCCATTTTAAATATTAAAAAATAAAAGGGGACAAAATGAATACTACACAAAATCATCAGTTAAATTTCTAATTACACAAAATGAATACTTTCAAGTCCAAGGCTTGCATCAACATAGCTTTCATGTAGACATCAAGATTCATCCATAACAACCAAAATGGCTAAAAGTAAAAGCAATCAATCTTACACACGATGAAATAATTTGTGCAAATCTCATGGTGTAAAGGCAACCCGAGGTATAATCAAAATCTTATGATGACCATGTTAAGAGATTTTGAAATTAATGGAAATGGTAGGGATAAACAACAAAATTCTTGTATAAAGAGATAAGTGTTGAAATTATTAAAATGGTTTTCAAGTTTGGTAACCAACTTTGAAAAAAATGGTTTTCAAAGTTTGGTAAATGTTTCTTTGAAAATGGTTTTCAAAGTTTGGTAAATGTTTCTTTGAAAAATAGTTTTTCAAAGTTTGGTAGATGTTTGTTGAAAAATGAAATGGGATAATCACAATTAATCCCTAGGCTTTAGGGTATTTACAAGATTAAGTCCTTAAGTTTCAACTATAAATACCCTAGCTCATTTAGCTTCAAAACAATCCCAAAAATCATTTCTTTCTCCCAATACTAGAGAGCTTTCTTGTGAGTAGTGAGTGTTTTGTAAACACCTGTAAATTTTCTCTCTTAGTAAAATATCTGCAGCAGTCCGGAGAGACGTAAGCACAATTGGCTGAACTCCGTTATTAATTTCGGGTATTATTTTTCTGCTTTTATTTCGTATTCTCACTAATATGACTATAGGGAAATTACTTGTATTTGGTTTATTTCCCAACAACTGGTATCAGAGCTTTTGGTTGTGAATTCTGCCAATTTTTTGCGAGGTTACTATTCAGGTTACTATTCATGTTAATAGAAAATTTCGTGAATAGTGAAATTTGGTCGGCGATACGAGTTTGTCGACGGAGGTGTTCTAATATACGGCGGTTCGCAGAAATTGTCAGAAACGATCCAAACGAAGCCAGATTCGAGTGGGAGCGATGGCTGCAGACGAAGGGAATGTGAAAATTGAAAAGTTCGATGGTGCGGACTTTGGATTTTGGAAGATGTAAATTAAAGATTTTCTATACCAGAAAAATCTATATCAACCCCTCTCAGGAAAACAACCAGAGGGCATGAAGAATGAAGACTGGCTTTCTCGACAGACAGCCTCGGAGTTATCCGACTGACGTTATCCCGCAATATTGCTTTCAACATATCAAAGGAAAAGACCACGGCGGGTCTTATGACGTCTCTCTCCAGTATGTATGAGAAGCCATCGGCCTCAAACAAAGTTCATTTGATGAGGCGATTATTTAATTTGCGGATGACGGAAGGGGCATCGGTGGCACAACACCTAAATAAACTCAACACAATCACAACCCAGTTGATTCAGTGGAAATTGAATTTGATGATGAAGTTTTGAGCTTTAATTCTCTTATCATCTTTACCAGACAGTTGGAATGCTACTGTTACAGCAGTCAGCAGTTCGTCGGGAAACAACAAATTAAAATTTGACGATGTTCGGGATCTGGTATTGAGCGAAGAAATTCGACGGAGAAAATCGGGTGAAGCATTAACCTCCTCAGCCTTGCACACAGAGTCCCGAGGGAGAACTTCAGAAAGAAATTCAAATCGTGGCAGATCGAAATCCAGAAGGAGAAAATCAAGAACAGAAAATAAAGATTTTACCTGTTATAATTGCGGCAAGAAGGGCCACTTCAAAAGAGATTGTCGAGCACCGAAGAAAAATACCGGCGCACAGGAATCTGCTAACATGACGGAGGAGACAGGTGATGCTATGATTTTAAGCGTCAACAGTTCGATTGAATCATGGATTTTTGATTCAGGGGCATCTTTCCACTCCACGCCATGCCAAGAAATCATGGAGAACTATGTCAGTGGTGATTTTGGGAAGGTTCATCTTGCTGATGATGAAACCTTGAAGATCGTCGGAAAAGGAGACATCCGACTAAAGCTGCCAAACCAGACCACCTGGAAGCTGACAGGAGTGAGACATATTTCTGGTCTCAAAAGAAATTTGATTTTTGTAGGACAGCTTGATGAGAAGGATACAGTACAACCTTTTCAGCTGTGAATGGAAGATTACCAAAGGAGCACTCGTCATTGCTCGTGGTAAGAAGACGGTACTCTCTATGTAACCTCAAATTTAGATAATATCATTGCAGTAGCAGATGTTGATGGAAAATCAAACCTATGGCACCAAAGGCTTGGCCATATGAGCGAGAAAGGAATGAAGATACTTCTGTCAAAAGGGAAGCTGCCGGATCTAAAGAATGTAGATGTCGGACTATGCGAGGATTGCATCTTTGGCAAACAAAAGAAAGTCAGTTTTGCAAAGATTGGCAAGACACCCAAGGCAGAAAGGTTAGAATTGGTTCATACTGATGTATGGGGACCATCCCCAGTTCCATCTCTTGCAGGCTCACTATATTATGTCACATTCATCGATGATTCAACAAGGAAGGTGTGGGTTTATTTTCTGAAGAAGAAATCAGAAGTCTTCGATACCTTCAGAAAATGGAAGGCCATGGTGGAAAATGAGACTGGTTTAAAAGTCAAGCGGTTGAGGTCTGACAATGAAGGAGAGTACAAAGATAGTAGATTCAGAGATTTTTACGAAAACAATGGGATCAAGATGGAGACAACAGTTCCCATAACACCGCAGCAGAATGGCATAGCAGAGCGCATGAACAGAACTCTGAATGAACGTGCCAGAAGCATGAGGATACATGCCGGATTGCCCAAATTTCTATGGGCTGAAGCTATCAACACTGCAGCTTACCTGATCAACCGTGGGCCCTCAGTTCCTTTGGATGGCGGAATACCAGAGGAATCTTGGAGCAAGAAAGAAATAAACCTTTCACACTTAAGAGTGTTTGGTTGTATTTCTTATGTACACATAAACTCTGCTGAAAGAAGTAAACTTGATGCCAAGTCCAACAAATGCGTATTTGTTGGTTATGGTGGTGATGAGTTTGGTTACCGGTTTTGGGACTACGAAAATCGAAAGATCATTAGAAGCAGATGTACAAAGACAGGTCAACCGCAGAATCAAGTAATACTGAAGCTGAAACAAAGAAATTTGCTGAGTTCGAGGAGATTTCTGGAAATGATGTTCAGATCAGCCCTGAAGCAGTTCAAGAGGAAGAACCAGGCACACCAGAACTGAGACACTCCTCGAGAATTCCTAAACCAACCCAACGGTATTCTCCTTCTTTGCACTACTTGTTGCTGACTGACAATGGTGAACCAGAGTGCTATGATGAAGCAATGCAAGTGGAGGATTCAGTCAAGTGGGAGTCTTCCATGAAAGATGAGATGGACTCGCTTATGTCAAATCAGACATGGAAATTAGCTGAATTACCACCAGGCAAGAAAGCGCTCCATAACAAGTGGATTTACAGGATCAAAGAAGAGTACGATGGGAGCAAACGCTATAAAGCAAGATTGGTTGTCAAAGGTTTTCAACAAAAGAAGGATTGATTACAATGAAATTTTCTCTCCAGTCGTGAAACTATCTACAATCAGACTGGTGTTGAAAATTGTAGCTGCGGAGAGTTTACATCTTGAGCAGTTAGATGTAAAGACAGCTTTCCTTCATGGTGATTTGGAGGAAGAAATCTATATGAGACAGCCAGAAGGCTTCATAGAGGTAGGCAAGAAAAACCTGGTATGCAGGTTGAAGAA